TTCTTTTCTTCTTTTCTTTCTTTCTTTCTTTCTTTCTTTCTTTCTTTCTTTCTTTCTTTCTTTCTTTCAGCACATATTTATTTAGCACCTATTATGGGCCAGCCACTGATTTGTCCCTGGGAATTAAATCATGAGAAATAAAGAAAGACACAGTTATCATCTTCTTGAAGCTCATAGTCCGGTGGGGAGACACACAATGGTCAAACAATCATTCAAAAACATGTGAAGGCCAGTGGTTATATGAGGGCTGTGAATGGAGTCAGGGAGAGGCTGACCTGGCCAGGCAGGCTGAGGAAGCTGCGGTGGAGCTGAGGTCTGGAGGGGCCAAGGTCAGGGCCAAGGTCAGGGCCGAGGTCAGGGCCGAGCTCCCAGGGCACCCCTGTGGGTTAGGAAGGATTATTCTCCTTGTTGCTGAGGACGCTGGCTACAAGGGGGTGGAGCACCTGTCCAGACCAGCAGGGACAAGCAGGGCAGATGACCCCACAGCTTGCACCGCTCCTGGCCACCAGCAGGCCCTGCTTTCCCCTGGGAGAGAGGCCGCCTGGCCCAGCCCGTGCCCCCCTGTGCTCTGAGGAGGCCCCACCCCTCGTTCTCACAGGCCTGTGGACCCGGTGCTAAAGGCCATCAAGGAAGACGATGAAGAGGCCTTGAAGGCCATGATGAAGGCGGGGAGGAACCTCGCCGAGGCCAACAAGGAGGGCTGGCTGCCGCTGCACGAGGCGGCCTACTACGGCCAGCTGAGCTGCCTGAAGGCCCTGCACCGAGGTGAGGCCGCCGCTCTGGGAGCAGCCGGTCCTGGGAGTGGGGCTCAGGGCGAGGGCTCCTCCTCCGACAGCTTCGTGCTCTTTGCCCCACAGCCTGGGTGACAGGGCACGGCCAGGTTCACTCCTGAGTTAAAGTCTCCAAGTTGGGGGAGGGAAAATGACTTGTCCCCAAACGCAACGACCTCCTCTCACCCACCAACCTCTCCGGACCTCCCAGGACAGGAAAGCCTAATTCCTAGAAAAGGAAGGAGTGGGGGTTGGCTTTGGGAAGAGCTACTGCCAGCTTGTTCTAGAATGTTCCAGAGGCTGATTTGGTATGGAAAATACTGCAGCTGTGCCTGTGCCCTCCAAGGCCGTCCCCCACAGCTGTGGGACCCTGGGCGAATTGTGCCTCCTCTCTGAGCCTCGGCTTCCCCCCAAGCCAGATGTGGGTGGGGAACACCTGCTGCAGCACAGGCCCCAGACAGCCCACTGTACTCCAGGGCAGAAACAGCTGCATGAGACCGGCTCACCCACCAACCTCTCCGGACCTCCCAGGACAGGAAAGCCTAATTCCTAGAAAAGGAAGGAGTGGGGGTTGGCTTTGGGAAGAGCTACTGCCAGCTTGTTCTAGAATGTTCCAGAGGCTGATTTGGTATGGAAAATACTGCAGCTGTGCCTGTGCCCTCCAAGGCCGTCCCCCACAGCTGTGGGACCCTGGGCGAATCGTGCCTCCTCTCTGAGCCTCGGCTTCCCCCCAAGCCAGATGTGGGTGGGGAACATCTGCTGCAGCACAGGCCCCAGACAGCTTACCGCACTCCAGGGCAGAAACAGCTGCATGAGACCGAGCTTCCAGCAGTGGCCGCTGGGACTGTAAGGGAAGGTCAGGGTCATTCGCAGAAGGAGGAGGTTCAACCAGGGAAGGCTTCCCAGAGGAGGTGGCATCTGAGCTGGATGCATATGACCAGGAAGCTGAAACAGCCCTGTGAAAACTACTGAATCCAGGGCCAAGATGACGGAGGCAGGCTGGGTGGTCAACTTAGGCAGATGCCACATAAGCCTGTCCTTGGAATTGGGAGGGAACTCTGACCACCTCTGTGTTGGGGTGGGGCGGCGGGCGGAGGGGAGAGGCAGGCATTTTCCTCTTTGATGAATGCAGTCTGTCCTCCCCAGCATACCCAGCAACAATCGACCAGCGTACCCTGCAGGAGGAAACAGCCCTTTACCTGGCAACGTGCAGGGGACACCTGGACTGCCTCCAATCCCTGCTGCAGGCGGGGGCCGAGCCCGACATCTCCAACAAGTCCCGAGAGACACCTCTCTACAAAGGTGAGCCCCCCTGGTGGGCTTCCCGGAGGAAGAGTCCAGAAACTAGGTGGGCGATTGGGAGCATTGCTCCTGAGGTGCATGCCCCCAGCCCCATGGGGTCTACTTGAAGGGGCAGCCTCACTCGGATGCATGACTTAGGCTATTGATTCTCTCATTCGTGCTTGTATCCGGTCAACATTTCCCAAGTCCTCCCCTGGGGTAGGCAGGCCGAGGAGCACTGAGGGCTCAGAATGGAAAGAACCATCCACGCCTGAGTCTTCTCCCTGCCAGTGGGCATCGCCTCACATAACAGTCAGCTCAGGGCGTGGGGTAGGCAGGCCGAGGAGCACTGAGGGCTCAGAATTGAAAGAAGCATCTATGCCCGAGTCTTCTCCCAGGCCAGTGGGCATCGCCTCACATAACAGTCAGCTCAGAGCAGTGAAGAGCATGGCTCAAGGCACCTGGGAACACAGGGCAGGGGCCCTGACATGGGGAAGGGCACCCACAGGAGGGTGTACCTGGGCTGAGCCTGAACAGGAGGGATCTGCCAGCTGGACCAGCATGGGAAAAGCACAGGCAAAGACAAAGAGGTGTGGGAGAGAATTTGTACCTCTGGGATGCTTAAGAAAACCAAACACTGGTGGCTGCATCAATACATCATCCAAGGACATTGGCAACCCTAGCAAGTGCCCAGAGTCAAAATCCTAAGAGCTGGCATGTATTGAGAGCTTTCTGTATGCCAGGCACTGTCCTTTTATTTACCCTCACATCCATCTACATATGAGGTAGGCACTGCTAGCATACCCATTTCACAGATGAGAGCGTAAGGCACAGAGACCTGCAATGAGACCCAGGATCACAGCCAGGGGCAGGCCTGGGATTTAAACTCAGGAAGGGGTATGACAGCTCCATGCTCAGAACTCCTACCCTATAAAGCATCTAGTCTGTGCCTACATCAGCCTTGGGTCTTGCAAAAGTGAGAGGGCTTCTACACACAAAACTACAGCAATCCCCCATCTCCCATGTGTCTGGTATCCAGCACCTGGAACATTCTGTAGGCAGCAGACACCACTGCAGACCTGCGGTCGAAGTGTCTCCCCCAGAACCCAGGTCCACTGGCCACCACAGCCATTGCCTGGACCCTCAGCTGCCCCAGAGAGTGCTCCCACCCTCAGCTGCCCCAGAGAGCACAGCCAGAATACTGGGTGGGAGGTCCCAAGATCGGGGCGGGGGGGGGAAGGTCCCAGGATGTGGGATGGGAGGTCCCAGGATGTGGGGTGGGAGGTCCCAGGATGTGGGGTGAGAGCTCCCAGGATGTGGGGTGAGTTATAGCCGAAGCTCATGGTCCTGCGAGAGCTCCAACCATGTGCTAAGCACCCTGCTAGAACCTTCCATGCACCACCTCGCTCTGTGCTCTCACAGCATCTTCTCAGGAAGGTTTTGTTACCTCTGCTTTACAGGCGAGGAAACCAAGGCTTCGAGGGATGGGGCGCTTCGCCTGGGGTCCTGTCTGAAACACTACACAGGCAGCCCCGTTCCTTCTCTCAGCCCCCTGGCTGAGCCGGAGAAGCCTCCAGGGGTAGTTCATTGGGCAAGTGCCCCCGCGCCCTGGTGACAACTCCAGCCAGAGCAAAGAGTGCACTCAGGTCTAGAGAGAGAGGAGGCTTAAAAGGGAGGTTGGGGCAGGTTAAGCCAGACTTGATGAGCTGCATTCAGGAGATAACTTCTACCCCAGATTAAGTGAGCAGCCCCTGCGGAGGGGCTTTGAGCAGGAGTGTGGCCTGTGCTCCTCCTCGGGCCTTGGCAAGGTGGAAGGCTGACGCGGGGAACACTGGGAAGGGACATGACATCAGGACGCTCCCAGGGACAGAGGTTTGCTGGACCCAACAACCTGGGTTTGAATCCCAGTTCTGCCCCTTACTGTCTGTGTGACCTCGGGCAAGTCACTTAACCTCTCTGTGCCTCATTTTCCTCCTCCGTGCAAAGGGATAATAAGGCCACCTATCTCAGGGATGGTTGGGAGCATTAAATTAGCTAATCATGTAAAGTGCTCAGAACAGAGTGCCTGGCACATAACCAGTGCTATACGCACGTCAACAGACATTGATGCTAATCAGTATTACTATTACTTTTAGCTGTCTGTCCTATGCAGACACTGAAACTTAGTGCTGGCCTAGTGGATATTTGTTGAATGAATGGCTGAGGAGTGAATGAGTGAATGAGTGAATGAATGAATGGACAAACAGATGAACGACGTCTTGGCTGGCCAGGTCCTGCCAGGGGCCCTGCTGACCGTCTCGCTTCTCCCTGGGCACAGCCTGTGAGCGCAAGAACGTGGAGGCAGTGAGGATCCTGGTGCAGTACAACGCGGACACCAACCACCGCTGCAACCGCGGCTGGACAGCTCTGCATGAGTCTGTTTCTCGCAACGACCTGGAGGTCATGGAGATCCTGGTGAGCAGTGGCGCCAAGGTGGAGTCCAAGAATGCCTATGGCATCACCCCCCTGTTCGTGGCTGCCCAGAGCGGGCAGCTGGAGGCACTGAGATTCCTGGCCAAGCACGGTGAGTGCTAAGGATCCCTGGGTTATGGAGTCCCCAGAGCGGGCAGCTGGAGGCACTGAGATTCCTGGCCAAGCATGGTAAGTGTTAAGGAGTCCCCCAAGGGTACAGCTAGGAAGGTCCTCAGAGATCCACTCCAAGGGCAGGCAAGTTTAGGTGTCATCGTGTGGGCAAACTCTGATTATCTTCTTGGAGTGCTGTGTTGAGAGGGTTCTGAGGTTGTGTCTAGGCTCAGTGGGAAACCTGTTGAGATCCACCAGTGATGCCTGAAATTAGGCGTGAACTTCGTGGTGGTGGCGGGGAGGAGGTGGAGTGGAACACCAGCTCCATATTGGCGATCTCTAATCTAGCCCAACATCCTTTTTTTACAAATGAGGAATCTGAGGCCCGGAAAGGGGAAGTGAGTTCTCTATAGTCACATAGCAAATTGGTGGGAGAACCAGCCAGACTTTTAGTCTCCTGATACCACAACCACTTCTCCTTCCACCATGCCACACGTCGGGGCCAGAAGGAGCCTCAGACAACATTTAGACTATAACTTCCTCACGTTGTAGTCGATGAAACCAAGGACCAGCATGGGAAAGTGGTTTGTTCAAAGGCGCCCAGCAAATTAGTGGCAGAGCTGGGATTTGAACTCAGGTCTTTGTACTCTTTGTCTGTAAAAAATTTTTTCACTTAATGGAGAAAGTGAAACAATATTGCCTATGGCAGATGTCCTTGTGGTTAAAGAGCCTTATATTTTGATCTCCCCCAAGAACACTTTTGATTATTTTTTCTCTTTTGCTGGGAAGTGACCCTCTCTTTAGCAACAGAGAGGCCAGAGGAAAGCCAGACCCTGGGGCAGAGTTGGAATACTTTGTTGAAGACCTACTATGTGTCAGACACTGTACTCAGCATGAACACAGATTAGGCCAATGTGGTTTTCTCCATAGTCGTGTCCTCATCCCATTTTACAGATAAAGAGACTGAGGCTCAGAGGTTAAGTGATTGGACACGGCCAGAGCCTGGATTCTGACCGCATCCATCTGATCCCAACCTGCATGTTCTTTGCACTCGGCCACCCCACTGGGCCTCGAGAATGGCCCTTGTGGGACTTTGCTCAGATAAGCATCCACTTACCATGTGCCTGAGCAGTTAGGGAAACAGACCCACGGCACTTCCTACAGCCAGGGATGGAGCCTAACGGACCGGCTTGAGAACAAAGGGGCGCAGGCAGGGGCCTGGGAGCCAGGCAAGGAGGCCAGGCCAAGGGCAGGGCCCCAGCGGGCGGGAACCGGCGGACTCTGCACATCTGCGGAGCTCTCCCGCCGACGCTGAGTCAAGGCCTGCTCCCTCTGTGGGCTGAGTCCATCTTTAATCCAAATATTTTTCCTGTGCGAGCAGCCGGCTTGGCCAGCAGGGTCCGGGCTTCCAGGGAGCCCGACTGAGAGCTGGTGTTAGAGCTGCTCGCCCGCTCCCCCTCAGGGGCGGAGGGCCGGACCTGTCCCTGTGCCCAGCCCCCTCCACCCTGGAGAACTGCCATTTGCGGGGCCCTCCTCTGTGCCGGGCACCGGGCGGCTATAACAGACCACAGACTGGCTGGCTCACAGACAACAGGGGCTGTTTCTCACGGTTCCAGAGACTGGAAGTCCAAGGCCAAGGGCCTGGCAAATTTGGTGCCTGGCGAGGGCCCACTTCCTGGTCATAGACAGCCGTCTTCTTGCTGTGTCCTCACACATTGGAAAAGTGAGAGACTCTCTGGGGTCCATTTAAAAAATTTTTTAAATTGATTTCAGAGAGGAAGGGAAGAGAACAGAAACATTTTTTAAATTGATTTCAGAGAGGAAGGGAGGAGAGACAGAAACATCAATGATGAAAGAGAATCATTGATCGGCTGCCTCCTGCACACCCTCTACTGAGGATCGAGCCCACAACCCGGGCATATGCCCCAACCGGAAATTGAACCGTGACCTCCTAGTTCCTAGGTCGACGCTCAACCACTGAGCCACGCCAGCTGGGCTGGGGTCCCTTTTATTAGGGTACAAATCCCACTCCTGGGGGCTCCAGATTGGAATCACCTCCCAGAGGCCCCACCTCGAACACCATCACTTTGGGGGTGAGGTTTTAACATATGCATTTGGGGGGGCACCGTCTATTACAGATATTTGCTTATTCTCGCAGTATCCCAATCAGTGGGTACCATTATTCCATCAACAGCCGAGGAAACGAGGCTCCTGCAGGCTGCCCAGGGCCACGGAGGTTGTAAGCCAGGAGACAGACGCTTCAGCCGGTCCTCATCTGTCCCCAGAGCCTGTGCTCGATCCACTAGACCAGAAATCAGTCATCAAAAATGAACCCTCATCCGAAAACCTGAGCTAAGCAGGGGGCCCGAGGGAGGAGCTGTGGTTACCAGACACTTTTGATCTCAGCCCTTCCTGAGAGTCTACTGCCTCTCAGTTCCATTTCCTGCCAGAATAAGAGGGGCCACGGACAGTCCGAGAGACCCAAGCAGTCGGCTCTCCCCCTCACCGCCAGGAGATGGAGCGGGTGGAGGAGCCTGGGCTGAGGGAGACTGCCACCAGGCCTGCCTCCTCCTCCTGTCAGCCTCAGTCATCAAAAATGAACCCTCATCCGAAAACCTGAGCTAAGCAGGGGGCCCGAGGGAGGAGCTGTGGTTACCAGACACTTTTGATCTCAGCCCTTCCTGAGAGTCTACTGCCTCTCAGTTCCATTTCCTGCCAGAATAAGAGGGGCCACGGACAGTCCGAGAGACCCAAGCAGTCGGCTCTCCCCCTCACCGCCAGGAGATGGAGGGGGTGGAGGAGCCTGGGCTGGGGGAGACTGCCACCAGGCCTGCCTCCTCCTGTCAGCATAGAGCAGTGTCTTTTTCAAGGGAGACAGGAAGTAATTCCTCGTTCATTCTTGGAAACGGAAGGCAGAGATTGGGATTTGTTGTTGGGGTTCTTCTTCACTAGGGGGCTCTGTGCTCTCCAAGACCCGCGAGGGCCTTCCTCAGGGCGGGGCCGGGCTCCTTTTACACGGAGAGCGGGGGACGAGCCTGGCCTCTGCCATCAGACCATCTCCCATGCCTCTGCCATCAGACTATTCGGTTCAAGTTCTGGCTCTTCACTTACGAGCTGGCGGGTCTGGGGCAAGTTGCATAGGTTCTCTGTGCTTCGTAACACAGAGATGAGAGTAGTGCTGGTCACACGGGGTTGTGTTGTGGATTCCAAGACACGACCATGGAAAGCACGGTGCCCGGCACACAGTAAGTGCTCCCCAAATGCCAGCACTGTGTGACAGCTTTTCACCTCCGAGAGGCCTCCGCTCAGGCAGGCAGGCCCCAGCGTCTCGGGGTTACGGAGGGAGCTGGGGGTCCTCCAGGTGGACCCCTCCTTTCTAAGGACCCAACGTGCCACGGAGGTGAGCACAGCCCAACAGGGACATCCCATCACCCCCCCCCCCCCCCCCCGATCACTCACTGGTCTGCCTCTTCTTCGCCAGGCGCTGACATCAACACGCAGGCCAGCGACAGCGCGTCGGCCCTCTTCGAGGCCTGCAAGAATGAGCACCAGCTGGTGGTGGAGTTTCTGCTGTCGCAGGGCGCCGACGCCAACAAGGCCAACAAGGACGGCATGCTCCCGCTTCACGTTGCCTCCAAGAAGGGCAACTACAGGTCAGCCCAGGCCCGGCCCCCCCGCGGGGGGGGGGGGGGGGGGGGGGCTCCGAATGTCCCGCCCACAGGATGAGGAAGGCTCGGTCAGAGAGGAGGGCACCTTTGGAGGATGAGAGGAAAGCACTCAGCAGCTGGCCAGCGAGGGCGAATGCCCACAGCAGGGGTCCTCGAACTTTTTAAACAGGGGGCCAGTTCACTGTCCCTCAGACCGTTGGAGGGCCGGACTATAGTTTAAAAAAAAACTATGAACAAATTCCTATGCACACTGCACATATCTTATTTTGAAGTAAAAAAACAAAACGGGAACAAATAAAATATTTGTATTTGCATGTGGCCCGAGGGCCGTAGTTTGAGGACCCCTGGCCCACAGCAACAGCAATGACAGTAATAACACAAACACTAGCTCTGACCACCACTTCCCATTATGAACTAATTTAGTCCTTTTGATAATTCCACTTTCAATGATCCTTTTAACAAATCTACCAAGGTAGATACTGTTATCTCTGTTTTTCAAATGAGGAAGCTGAGACACAGAGAGGTTGAGCGATTTGCCCAAAGTCACACAGCCTATAGATGGTAGGAATTCACCCATCCCCAATGTCACATCTATAGGAATTCCACTCAAGGCACCAGATATGCATCTGGACTTGAGGTTATTTCTGGTGAGGATGCAAGAACAACCTTTAAGGCAATAAGCCAGTATGCAAGATGCCTACAATAATACTAATAGTACCAGTGATAATAGCTTTTATTGAGCACTTACTATGTGTGGGTACTTTGAGCAAGATGAGAGAAGCTTACTTCTCGGGGAGGGACCTGGTGGGAGGAGAGGTGCACAGGTCTGTACACACATACACACACGAATTCATGGCATAACGAAAGAGCATTCCACAGTGGTCCTAAGGCACACTGGAAGCAGAGCTGTGCTAGAGCTGGTCAGTACCGGCTTGCACGAGCCGATGGTTCACGTTGAGAGCCTGAAACTGGCCGTGGTGAGAGTATTTACACCGCAGTCATTGGTGCATGCTACACATCACGGGCTCCTCCCGACAATGTAACTGTGTAGCCCAGTAGAGCAGTGATTTTCAGCCTTTTCCATCTCACGACACACACAACTAATTACTAAAATTCTGCAGCACACCAAAAAATATGTTGTGTTTTTTGCTGATCTGACATTTAAAAATAGGTATGATTTTGATACATTTACACTGGACGGCTATTGTCGTCTTGGTTTGTTGTAATTTTTCTATTTGACAATCTCAGGGGAAAGAGGTCAGTGCCCCTGACCAAATAGTCAGGTATTGCATGTTTTAAAAATTCTTGTGGCACACTGGTTGGACATCGCTGTGGCAGCAAACCAGGATCTTAGCGTCCATTTTGCAGCTGACATATAACAGAGACATGCATTTTGGACTCACTTTTGACCTCCTTGTTCTTACACTTGATCTTAGCCAAAAGGCCGAGAAGCGATTGACCTCCTTGTTCTTAAATATTCTTTCTGCTTTACTTCTAATTTATACTATCTTTGCAAGCCATTTAAAACTCTAAGAAAAGGCAGAATAGAGAACATTTAGTAAATTAAATTAACATGTAGCTAATAAAGCACATTCACAAGCCAGTTGGTATCCCCATGAACTACCAGGGAAACTGGGGCTCAGAACTCAAGGCCTCACAGGAAATGAGAGGGGAGAGCCTCTCAGGCCTCATTCCCCACCCCGCCCCCTGCAGGAAGCTGGTTGGCTGCCTGTGTCTCCTGCGGGAAATGGTGAGGGTTGGCGTCCGTGTGTCTCAGGTGCGGGGCCTGGGTCACCTGCAGCAGACTCCCAGGTCCCTCCTGGCTGCTGAGTCAGGCCCTGGACAGCAGGGCCCGGGACTCTGCATTTCCAGCGGTTCCCTGAGTGATCCTGAGTCGCCCTGTGAGGAGAACTGGCAGTGTGCGCGCTCAGCAAGCTCCACTGTGTGCCTGCCCGTCCTCCTTCACGGAGGACCTGCTTCCTGCTGCAGCTCCCAGCAGCCCTGGAAACTGCCACTCCACACTCACACACACACTCATATATACACATACACACATTCACATACACACACACACAGTCACACAGACACTCATATATACACATACGCACACAGTCACATATACACATACTCATATACACTCACACATAGTAACACACACTCACACACACACATTCACATACACACACACACACACACACACACTCACACACAGCAGGGCTCACACAGTGCAGCTCAGCGGTATTGGCCGCGGAGCGGTCTGTGGGCGGCTGGTTCCTTTGTGAAAGTCTAGTTCACAGTCAAAGTTACCCTGAACACTGACAAAGGTCACAGCACCGTGACCTGGTGGCCCAGAACGCCTCCAGGTCTTGAGCAGCAGGGCAGTGTGCTACAATCGCCCTGGTGGCCAAGATGCCAATAGCTACCATTTATTGAGTGCCTACTAGGCGCAGCTCAGCTTAACTTGTAAGATCTCATTTTATGCTCAACAGCAATCTCAGTGAAAGTATTACTAAATTGTGTTTTGTAACCTGGGCAGAGCAGTCGACCTTGCTGATTGGTTACGGAGAGAGAATGAGATCAGCCCACAGGATCAGTTCCAGAGGGGCAGGGAGCTGGGCCTCAGACACTGAGGGTTCTATCGGACGATGGTCACCTTTGTTCCTCTTCATAAGGTGCACTTTGAGCAGCAAGCCCTCTGTGGTCCCAGGACCTGCCCATGGGAGAAGGGGGAAGGCCCCGGCCTGTCCTTCAGCCCACAGAAGGGGCTCGGGGACAGAGGTGATGATATGGATGGATATGCAGTGGGACGCCACCATGGCCACTCCCCTGTGTTAGGGAGACTGGGGCATCATGGAAAGGTCTGGCCTTGGACATACATACATTCTGGCCTGGCTTTGCTATCCACCTCCTGTCCAACCTCACTCTTATTCCCATCCCACACCTGTGCCTCAGTTTCACCCTCTGTAAAATGGGACGGCTGGACACACTGATCTCCAGACCTGTCCAGCACCATACACTCGTGTCCAGATTGGCAAAGTCCTACAGAGGCAGACAATAAGATGGTATCGCTACATGGTTAAGATGATGCTTTGGGAATCTAGGCAGCGTCCAGTCACGTTCCCACATTTCGGCCCTTTCCCTCCGTTCAGTGAGGGATCACTCGAGACCAGCGGTGACCTGCCAGAGATACCAGCCCCCTCTGGCGGGTGGCCCCGGGCAGTCCCTCTTGCTGTTCTTTCCCGAGCTTGGGCAGGTTACGGCTGTTAGCGAGCATTTGTTGCCAATGGCCTCAGTCCAGGGTGAGGCCCCAGCCCTGCCTTTGACCAGCACCTCTACAGAGCAAGGTCAGGCCTCCTGGGCCTGCACAAATAGAAATTAGGAGGCAATTAGTCCCCCTGATGTGTGAATTTCCTTTTGAGGTTTTAGGCGCAGATTTTAGGTAAATAAAGCGTTACTAACAATAATAACATTTCCCACTGAGACCCTAGCGGAGGTTGCTGGCATCAGAGTTCCAGGAAGCAGGGAAATCAACGTGCCAGGAGGCAGAGAGGCGTGGGAACGGGCCTGCTGGCACCGCCTTGCCCTGCCATGGCCACCTCCTTGGAGCCCACATGGGGCCATGAGGTCACCTGTCATCAAGGATTAGCCAGATTAGGGTCTGGAATCATGACAGAAGCTTGTTCCTGCAGGTGGCAAGGGTCCAGGGGAAGACAGCAGAGACAAGGGGTCAAGAGTGTTGGGGCCAAGCCCCCAGAACTGCTTTACGACCCTTGATTAGTCACTTCATTTCTCTGAGCCGCATCAGTTGAAAGGGAGCCACAGACCTGCTCTGGCTACCCCACAGGGCTACAGGGAAGGTGAAACGGGACAGGCAAGTAATGCATCATGAAGCAGGCAGAGCCCCATGACATACCTGCTACACAAAAAATAAGGGGGTGGTTCAGAGTGTGGCCCTCTCTCTAGGGGGAATGGGACTACCTGCATTCAAATCCTGGCTCCGTCACTTACTGGCTGTGCATCCTTGGGCAAGTCACATACCCTCTCTGGGCTTCTGTTTCCTCATCTGTAAAGGAAGATAATACTAGCACCCACCTCATAGGGCTATTGGGAGGGTGTAACAGATTAACGCAGGGCAAGTGCTGAAGGCAGTGCTGATAGTACTAGTAGTTAGTACACGTTGGTGGCAGTGACGTGCTGATTCAGCGGGAGAGAGCTGCCCAGGGATCTCCAGCCTCAGCAGGGGCTGACCAACCCACCCCAGGCCACAGGCAGAGCAGAGAGCCTGGGAGAGGCTGGAGTCAGACTTCAGCATTAGAGGCATTGAGACTTACAGGAGAGGGGGCACCCTGTCCACCTCATGGCCACCCAGCTCCACCGCTTACTGGCTATGTGACTTTGGGAAGGTGGTTGAAGCTCTCTGGGACTCAGTTTCCCTCTCTGTGAAGTGGGGATAGCAGCAGACCCACCCTTCCAAAAGGGGGTAACTGTGAAGGCTGGCCGGCTCCTCAGCGCCCCCTGCTGGTAGGCCCGCGCCTCCCTACATAGAGTAGTTGTGAGTGGCCGAGCCTGGTCCCTCAGCGCCCCCTGCTGGACCGTGACCCGCGCGTGCGCGCTCCGCCTTGCAGGATCGTGCAGATGCTGCTGCCGGTGACCAGCCGCACGCGCGTGCGCAC